AAAAAAAAACATGCAAAGGCGTGCAGGACCTGCAGGTGCAACACCACCACGGAAGCCGATGACAAACTGCGTCAAGAAGTCATTAACGGTGTTTGTTAGATTTGACGGAAGTTAGTTTTCCGTCCAATTGAGACCTTATTTAAGAATTTCGTAGAGTTCGGGACCTTAATTGAGTACAATTGAAGTATGGGTCCAACATTGCGAATTTTGTATAAGTTTGGGTCCTTATGTCATATTTATGCCTTATTTATTTATTTATTTTTTCTTTTTGAGAAAAGGCAAATGCGAAGAAATATGAGTATTTATTCTTGTGCATTGGTATATTTATTTTAAGTTATCAACCTCATTACTCAATTACTATTTATTGTTGAGCATTTGTGTATTTATTTATTTAATTGATGACGAGTTTAGGTGGTGATAATAATTCGTCCCTTAAGTAACATGGAAAGGGTTTCACAAGGTTAAGGCGGATGTTTCCACACATTGATAAATATCTTCGAGTTGAAGTTCTAATCGGATAACTCAATTGAGTGGCATAGCCTGTTGAATATGGTGGCAACAACTCCATCATCACCTAACCCATTAACAAGACTTCCAGAGTAACGGAGTAACTCGACATCCTTCCCGGTGTTAATCAAGCAATTCATGAATGTGACATAATCAGTGACATACCTTTGGCAGTCGTTGTGACCTTGTTCGTAGGCAATCAAATTACGAAGGATGCAGTCTGCATTCTCTTCCATTCTTATGGTTGGCATCCACAGTACACCGTTCTCAAACTTTATATCAAACAAGCTCTTCTCCTCATCCCCATTCATCTTCTTGAACTTGATTCCTACCTCTTTGAGCTCTGTTGCATTACGTGTTAAATTCCATTCACCATATACTGCTGAATTTTCCCCGTAACTATCTTTTACTTCAGGTGAAGGAAGCCAGCTATCATGCACTAAGCCGAGTAGATTCTTGGTTTTTTGGGCAGAGATTACCTCAGAATTTTGAATTCCAGGGCCTGGTATCATTCCAGAGAAGAAATCTAGAGCCCTATGAATGAACTCAATCTCATTCGCTTGATTGGGCACCAGAGTACTCAAATGAAACAGCTCCAAAAGTACAAAGAATGGCAGCTGATTTTCCACCAGTAACAAATCACGGGTTACGCTTACCACGTTGAAATTTGGAAAATCATCATTATTTTTTCGGAGTTCTCTAAATTTCCAAATCTGATTCTCGCGGATTAGCTCAATGATGAAGCTGCCATCAAGGAGCATCATTTCTACAAGTGCATCTCCATCAATATGATCCAGAGGTTCTGCATAGCATTCGCGAATCTTTTCTTCCTTATCTTTCAAAGCCATCACATATCTCTGCACGCTAGTCTCCTCTCTTCTTTGAAGAAGCCTTTTTAGATAATGCATTTTGCGCGCTTCCATGCCTTTCAAATGATCTTTTCCATGATGATAAGGGCCGATTGAGATTTTATGAGGTTCGTAGGCCTTTTCATTTATCTGGCGTAGCGGATTAGGTACTCTGCAAATTTTACACCCAGATGATGAGACTGTTGAAAATGATGAAAGCTTTTCATCTATCCGAATGGAAAGAAATTCGGCTGCTTCATATTCGTCCTCCATCAATCACCTGCTCAAAAACGTTAAAAACAGTATACTATTGATAAATGAAAGCATAAGGATTCAACATCATACACCTTGGAAATTCCAGGTTATTTTATCACATAGAAAAAATTATACTACTGATGAAAAGATGGAAAATCCGAAGGCATCATCAAACTCGATTCATCCAAAGAAGCAAACTGGAGAATGAGTTGGCGCAGAAAAAGGAGAAATAAGGATTGATTTTCCAATAATCCTTAATTTATTTCTAAAAGGCAAAAGAGCACAGCCAACCCAACACTTACTTCAAAAACCTTAATTCCAAGTTCAGGGTCAATTAATGGTTTCAAAATTTTGAGATAACTAACTTTTGCTGTAAAGAAGAAAATGATCCATGGTTTCTACAATAGTGTTTTTTCCTTTCTAAGGAAAAAAACTTAACATATAACTTACTTGTATCCAGTCACCTGCTAATGATTTCTTTGTGTTGTTTCTCTTGCTTTCCCAAATGAAAGGGCTAATTACACTTCTCTTGTAAGTAGAACTAGGGAAAAAATATTTATTTCTCTTAAATATGAAAAGATGATTATTATTCTGGAAGGAATGAGCAAAAACCATATCTAATACCAGAATTTAGATCTATATTTAATGCAAGAATCTAGATTTATACAAATGGATTTTTTATTTTATTTTATTTTATTCTATTTTATTTTTTTAAATCAAGAAGAATCCGGATGATGGCTGCTTCTCTGCAATATTGAAGTGGATTATAACAACCAAGGCAACAAGTATCTACTTTAATAGCTATATTCGTTACCGTGCTATAACCCAAAACGTCCCCTTTACTTCATCCCAAAGTTGTTGTCGCATGTCTTTATTATTTCTTCTATGTATTCCTTTATTTATTTATTTTTTCCTTGAAATTCAAGCAAACCATTGCTTTATTCCTTACTTTGATGTGATGCTTGGAACGGTGCTCATTTTAAGCGCATATGTTCTTTTCTTTATGATTCATTTTAGAATTTTATTGGCATTAAAGTAATCAATTCCTTAATTTCTTCTTTTTCCTCTTCTTTTTTCCCCCAATACTCCAAGAATTCCTTTCTTTGAGCCTATTTTGTTGGTGTAGAAGTAGCTTTTCTAGAAACAAAAAGGTGTCTTATATGATAAATTATATATTAAAAAT